GGGGAGGGGGAGGGGAGGGGAGGGGAGGGGAGGGGAGGGTGCGTGACTGTATGTGTCTCCCGCTGTGGCTGTGTCTCTCGCTGTGGCTGTGGCTGTGGCTGTGTCTCCCGCTGTGGCTGTGGCTGTGGCTGTCTCTCTCGCTGTGGCTGTGGCTGTGGCTGTCTCTCTCGCTGTGGCTGCCTCCCTGACTCGGTCGCTGACAACACCACTGGCTTGGTCCGTGCCCCGGGCTGTCTCCAACACACCCCTGTGCCTGCCATCATTCAGTCGTCGCAACTCTCGAACTTGACTCACACACACACTCACTTATCTGCGCAGACTTTGAGGAGGACGACTGGTCGAAGCACGGATACGCCAAGCTCGACATCCTCGCCACCTTTGGCACCGACGCTGACTCGGTCCCGCGGGTCGACTACAAGACCACCGATACCAAGGCTTTTGTGGCCGGGTATGACGCCGGCGAGATGCCGTGCCTCCTCATCGGGGCTACCGACGACTGGAAGGCTATGCGCAAGTGGAACCGCGCCAAGTTCTCCAAGCGCTTCGGCTCGTCACGCTTTGACGTCGGCTCGTACAACCACACGTACATGACGTACGAGCAGTACCTCCGCTACTGCGACACCAACACTGACGACTCGCCGCTGTACATCTTTGAGCCGCAGTACGCCACCAAGTTCCCCAAGCTTCTCAAGGAGTTCTCCATCCCCAAGTACTTTACTCCTGAGGACATGGACTTGCAAAGCTGCATGGACGACGACCCGCGCCCCTATTACCGCTGGGTCCTCATGGGCCCTGTCCGCTCCGGCACAGGCATCCACCAGGACCCGCACATGACCTCAGCCTGGAACGCTCTCATCCAGGGCCACAAGCGCTGGTGCATGTTCCCGCCCCACATCAAGGGCTCTATTGTCAAGCCCAAGAAGGGCGAGCCCGACTCGGGCATCTACTGGTTCCACTCGGTTTATCCGCGCCTTGTCGACCGCGCCGACGAGCTCGGCATGATTGAGTGCGTCCAGGGCCCGGGTGAGATCATCTTTGTCCCCGCAGGCTGGTGGCACGTCGTCCTCAACCTCGACTTTACCATCTCCGTCACCCAGAACCACGTCACCGACTTTAACTTTGAGCGCGCCTTCAACTCGTACAAGCGCTCAAAGCCCAAGAAGGCCCTCATTTGGCACAACTCACTGCCCGACGCGTACAAGTCGCGTGTCGAAGCTCCCAACCCGGACGACATCTCCTCCTCCTCCTCCTCCTCCTACACCTACGTCTCCTCCTCCTCGTCCGACGACGAGAACTCGGCCTCAGACTCGGGCTCGGGCGCCTCGGCCTCGGACTCGGGCTGATCTCTTGCGAGATTGTAAACGACCTGCCATTGCACAACACGGCGCTTTATCTCTGTTCTGTCAGTGGATCGACATCCGCCGCGACTCGGCCCGCCCGGCTTCGCCGACACTCACACGCTTCCGGATCCGGCTCGGGCCGCCGAGGCTGACTTGCCCGGGCCGGTGCCCACGCAGCACATCGAGCTCGACCTCGGACGACGACTCGTCGTCGTCGTCGTCGTCGTCGCTGCCAAGCGATGTCGAGCCCGAGACCACAGAGCTCTTGATCAGCCCACCGCGCGAGCCTGACCGGAGCGATGTTCGCGTCCCAGACGCAGACCGCGACCGTTTGCGCGAGCCGTGCCGCGACCGCGATCGTGACCGCCGCATCCGCTGCCCGCTGCTTCCGCCCGACCCGTGCGACGTTGTCGACTCTTGCCGCCCGTGCGTCGCCACCTGCCGGTTCGTGAACCGTGGGACCACAGCCGCCCCCGCGTTCGGCGTCACCGTCGCCGGCGTCCGCGCCGACAGCGGCTGTCGCCGCCTAGAGCCCTGTCGCGCCGGCCTAGCCACGTCACCATCTGCCGTCACCGCTGTTGCCGCTGTCGCCGGCTTGGTGCTCTCGGCGTCACCGACTCCGGCCCCGTCGCGACCGATGCCGCCAGGCGTCGACACCGCCCGCTCCATCGGCGGCGGCGCCGGCGTCGCCGCGGGCGTCGTGCTCTTGCCAAAAGCGTCGTTGAACAGCTGGTTGCTCAGCGCCAGCCCCTTCGGGTTAGCCACCGACGGCGAGTCGTGTTGCAGCCCGCCGCCGATACCGCCAGCAGCGGCGCCTCCTGCCGCAGCCCCGCTCCTCGCGCTTGGCTTGTCGACCGTAAACAGCCGGTCCAGATCAACGGCCTCGCGTCCGTCTTCGTCTGCCAGCACGCCCTCCTCACCGGCGTCCTTGATCTTATAGTACAAGTTGCGCCGGACCGACCGAAAGACAAGGACCGCGAAAAATACAAGGATGGCAAAGAGCAGCGCGAGGAGCCCGTACGACACGTTCTCCAACAGCGACGTCTCCACGCTCGACTCGGTTGACGCCATGAGATTAAATGCGGCGCAGAGGAGACAAAAGCCGGCGAAAACGGCCGCTGCCTTATTCCGCCAATGCGCGAGGAACGGCTGCGCACCAAGCGCCATCACCATCATAGCCACAAACACCACCGCGCACAGCACAAACTGCCACACCGGGTACTCGGTCAGAATCGTCGACGCCACCGCAAGCGCAAGCATCGACGAGAGCCACGCAAACGCAAACCACCACCGCTCCTCGTCGAGGTACTTGCGCGCCACTGCGGCCTCCTCCGCCGCCGCAGCCTCGTCGTTGAGCATGTTGTTGAACTGCGCTGCCTGAATCTCCGCAAGCGCAAACGCCAGCTGCTGCTTGCGGTGGTGCCTGTACTGTCGCACAAAGGCAATGAGCAGAAAGCCCATCGTGACGAGGACAAGCACCACAATCGCTACAATCATCATCGTTGAGTGCGTCGAATCGTAGCACTTGACCGACGCGTCTGACTGCATGTAGCTGCCAAACGGCGTCTCCACGCAGTGCACCACACGCAGCGCCATCGTCGTCAGCGCAAAGTAGCCGACAGAGAGCAAGATGGTGAGCGATCGTCCCAGCCGCTTCCAGAATTCGGCGCGGACCTCATCGGCCCAGCTCTTGCGCCGAACCTTGGTCTGCCACAACGACGAACCGCTCACACCGACCACAATCACAAGGCCCATAAAGCAGAACAGGCTGAGTGTCGAGTAGAACACCAGCGGAAACGACGACGACTCTACAAGGCACCCGGGCTTGAGCAGCTCCACAGAGAACGACGCAACGCCAAACTGCAGATATACAATCTTGAGCATGGCAGGCGTCCGCTTCGGCGCCATCGTGCCCACCGCCATGAGCCACTGGAGCATGAGGAGGAAAAAGCCCACAAGATGCACCGCCCGCGACGAGCCAAAGAACGAGATGATCGCCAGGAGCGAAAGAAACGCAAAGTACGTGAGGACGACCGCAAACGGGAACGACTCGGCCCCAGACTCGCACGGGAGGCAATCGTCACCAAGCGCGTAGAACCCGGGCGCACAGCTCGCGCAAAAGTCACCGGCATACCCCTCCGCACACACCGGGAGGCATGGTGCCTCGCGCCCGCCGCCGAGGCACCGCTCGGGCGGATCGCACGGCCATGCGCCGCCAGAGTCGATGCCTGTGTTCCAGCACCCCTCTAGCGCACAAATCCGCCGCCCGCCGCCTGGGCAGTACCCGCACGACGGGCACGGAACGCAGTCGGTCCCCGACCCAAACATGCCCTCAAACGGGCAGTCGTTGGTAAACTCGAGCGCCTCGGCCTTGGCTCCGAACCCGCCGTCGCTGTTTGTCACGTTCACAGTCGCCTTGAACGGGAGGACAGACACGTTCTGCGCGGGCGCCACAATCGCAAGCTGCGTCGACGAAATGAACGTCGTGTTCTCCACCGGAACGTACCACAGGCCCACGCCGACCACCGCATCCGGGAAAAAGTTGCTTCCCGTCACCGTGTGGCTCGTCCCGCCGAGCGCAGGTGCAACCCCGGGCGAGACCTCGGTCACCGTCACCACCGAGATGTCGCGGTTGACCAGCGCCACGTCCGGCGGGTCAAACGCCATCCACTCGGCAGAGCCTTGTGACGGCGGGAGGAGAACCGCCGAGTAGGCAGTGTCGCCGTCCGCAACACCGTCCGGCACGCCCTGGAACGTCACCGTCTGAGGAACGAACCACGTGTCGGACTCAAACACAAGCTGCGCCGCGCCAACAGGCACACCCTCACCCGGATCAGAGCTCGTCACCCCCATCACCACGTCCTGTGGCGGCGCCACAAGCAGCGTCACCACAAACACCACCGTCCCGCCGGCCTCGGTCGTCACCGCCTCACCCAGCACGGTCGTGTTGATCTGCGGCAGCGAGTCGAGGTTTTGCAGCGCCACAGACTGCGAGTAGCCCGAAAAGTCGAGCGAGGTCGTCACCGCAGGCCCCATCACAATCTCGTAGTCGATCGTACCGTCGTCGAGCGTGTCGGTCACGCCCATGACCGTCACCACCTGCGGCACGGCCCAGTTGGTCGCCGTAAAGTTGAGCTCGCTTGCCGCTGGTACCACAATCACGCCCTCGCTCACATCGCTCGATGTAAGCGGCACCCGCACGTCTGCAATCGGCGCAGAGCCGAGTGCAACCGTGAATGTCGTCCCAGATGGCAGCTCTGAGGTGGGACCTGTCGGGCCAACCACAATAAACTGCGCCGCAGAGACTGCAATGTTGAACGCCGGCCAAGTGGCGTTGGCCGGGACCCGTCCGGCGTAGTCGGCACCGGTAGAGACCGCAGGCTCAAACACCAGCCCGTAGTTCTTGTCGCCGTCGTCAAGCAAATCGTTCTTGCCGGTCACCGTCACCGTCTGCGGCATTGCCCAGTTGGCCGACGTAAACGTGACGGCCGTCGGTGTCACGCTCGCCTCGATCGGGTCGCTCACAGAGAGCGGCACAAACATCGAGCCGGCCGCAGGACGCGAGCCCAGCACAATCGTCAGCGTGTCCGAGAGCCCGGCTTCGGATGTCACAAGCCTCGGCTGCGGGCCCACAACCACAATCGCTGCCGTATCGTCATCGACGTTGGTCAACCCGATCGACGGCGCCACAAGCGCTGCGTACTTGGCGTCGCTCGAGCTCATGCCCGAAAACGAGACCGAAAACGCCACGTCGCCGTCGTCGACATCGTCGTCGACACCGGTCACCGTCACCGTCTGCGCCGTCGCCCAGTTGCCGGTGGTGAACACCAGTGAGGCGACGCCTACCGTGCCCTCAGACGTGTCAGAAGAGGTGAGGCCCGTGAGCGTCACCGAGCCGACCGGCTGCGATGTGAGGACCACCGTAAACTCGGCTTGCGTCGGCGAGCCGCCGTTTTCAGCCACAAGCCCGCCATTGGTCGGCGTCGAGACCAGAACGCCGGCGGTGTCGTCGTCGGCGGTGACCATGGCCACTGACGGCACTACCCGCCCATTGTACAGCTGCGGACCTGGCCCGCCGTCGGCGGCGACTGCGGCTGCAAAGTTGATCGAGAACGCCTCGTCACCGTCGTCGACGTCGTCGTCAACGCCGGTCACGGTCACGGTTTGCGGCGTTGCCCAGTTGGCGGTGGTAAAGACAAGCGACGCGCCGCTCGTCACACTCCCGCCCGTCGCCGGCGACGACGACGACGCGCTCAGCGTCACGTCCGCCAGCGGCTGCGAGGTGAGGACAACCGTAAAGGTGGCGGTGCCCGGGCCGGCCTCCGGAATCGGCCCCGACGCCGCCGAGACGCTAAAGCCGGCAGTATCGTCGTCGACGCATGTCAGCGCCACCGTGCCTCCGGGTACGGCCTGGCCGTTGTACTTGGGGTCGGACGCCGCCGACGACGGGCCAACCACCACGTTGAACGTCACGTCTCCGTCGTCGACATCGTCATCGACGCCGGTCACCGTCACCGTCTGCGGCGTCGCCCAGTTGCCGGTGGTAAAGACGAGCGAGGCCGGCGTCACGCTTGCCTCGTCGGTCGCGGCCAGTGCAACTGGGAGCGTCACGCTACCAGCCACAGGCTGTGAGGTGAGGACAGCGGTAAAGGTCGAGGTTGTACCAGACTCGGCCACGGTAAGCGACGACGGCGACGAGATCACAAAGCCGGCGGTGTCGTCGTCGACGTTGACGATCGGCATGGTGGCGCTGAGGCCGACAAAGCCGCCGGTCGACGGACCGCAGGTGATCGTCACCGCTGCATTGCCGTCGTCGATGTCATCGGGCTGGCCGGTCACCGTCACCGTTTGGACTACGTTCCAGTTGGCCGAGGTAAAGGTGAGCGAGGCCGGCGAGGTGACTGCCGCCTGCGAGGGCGCACTGGAGACCACCGGAACTGTAACATCTGACGCCGGACGGGCGGCGAGGACGACCGTGAACGTCACGTCCGACAGCGCCTCGTCGGTTTCTGCCGACGCCGGTGTCGGCGCTGAGAGCACCAACGCCGCAGTCTCGTCGTCGAGCGTTGTCACGTCGACATCGGTTGTGGTTAGCCCGTCCCACGTCGCGTCGGCCGACGTCGTGTCGGCAATGACCACACTGAACGCCACGTCGCCGTCGTCGTCGTCGTCGTCGGCAACGGTGAGCGTCACGGTCTGCGGCGTGCTCCAGGTGACGCTCGTGAAAGTGACCGGCGAGACCGAGGTTACTGTCCCCTCGGTTGTGTCGGATGAGCTCACACCAATCGAGACAGGGGCAGTCGGCATGGCCGAGAGCTGCAGCGTAAAGGTGGCGGTGTGGCCCGGGGCGAGCGCCTCGTCGAGATCGTTCGAGATCGATGACGAGATAACTGATGCCGACGCCTCGTCGTCGAGGTTGACCAGCGAGCGTGAGGAGGCCGGCTTGGCGGCATACACAGCATCGGCCGACGAGCTGACTGCGGCGCGGACCGAGTAGGTAGTGGCGCCGTCGATCGCGGCGTCGTCGACACCCTGGACCGTCACGGTCTGGACCACATTCCAGTTGCCCGAGGTAAAGGTGACGGGCGAGGGTGAGGTGATTGTGCCTTCGCTCGTGTCGAGCGAGGTGACATCGAGGACGACGTCGGCCGTCGGCTCGGACGCGAGCCGCAGGTCAAGCGTAGCGCTTGTGCCCGTCTCGGCGGTATTGCCTGACGGTGCTGAGAGGATGAGACCGGCGGTGTCATCGTCGACGTTGGTGAGCGCGTACGAGCCAAACGGCGGCGCAAGGCCCGAGTAAGCCGGGTCGCCTGACGTGCCCGACCCGATCGAGACCAAAAAGCCGACGTTGCCGTCGTCGATGTCGTCATTGACCGCGGTGACTGTGACGGTCTGGACCACGGCCCAGTTGGCCGGGGTAAAGACGAGCGAAGCTCCCGAGAGCGTGCCTTCGGTCACGTCGCTCGAAGCCAGGGCAAACGTCGCCGTGTGCCCAGTCAGCGGCGACGCGGTGAGAACCGCGGTAAACTCGGTGGCCGAGGTTGTGGCTTCGTCAATCGACGGGCCCGGCACCAGCGCCGAGAGAACGAGGCCTGCCGTGTCGTCGTCGACATTAGTCAGCGCCTGCGAGGTCACCGACGGCACCATGCCCGAGTACGTGCCATCCGCCGAGGTGGCGGCCGAGAGTGTGACGGAGTAAGCGATGTTGCCGTCATCAAAGTCGTCGTTGACGCCGGCCACGGTCACCGTCACGGGCGTGTTCCAGTTGCCCGGCGTAAAGACGAGCGGCGCAAGCGCGCGAACGGCCGAGAGCGTGCCCTCGGTCACATCACTCGACGCGACGGTGATCTCGACGTTGGCTGCCGGCTCTGAAGTGAGGACAATGTCAAAGACAGCGGTGGCGCCCGGGTTAGACTCGAGCGTCGAAGACGTCGAGAGCGCCGAGACCGAAATGCCGGCGGTGTCGTCGTCGAGATGGGTGAGGCTGAACGAGGTGGTACTCGCAGCGAGCGAGTTGTACACTGCGTCGGCAGACGTCGCGGCGTTGACGCTGATGGTGTACGGCGTGTCGCCGTCGTCAACGTTTTCGGCCACACCAGTGATGGTCACGGTCTGCGGCACGCTCCAGTCACCGGTGGTAAAGGCGATGGAGGCCGGAACGGTGGCGGCGCCGGTGTCGGACGAGGCAAATGGGACGGTGACGGTGGCCGTCGGTTCGGTGGCGAGGACGACGGTGAACTCTGCCGTGCTGGCAGGGCCGGTCTCTTCCGTGGTGCCGGTGCCCGGATTGAGAGCCGAGACGACAATTGCGGCTGTGTCGTCGTCGACGTTGGTAAAGGAGGCAGAGCAGGCGCGACGGCTCCCAAGTACGACGGGTCAGACGATGAGGTGGCCGGGGAGCCGGCCGAACCCACGGCGAGGGTGTAAGATACGTCGCCGTCGTCGATGGCGTCGTCAATGCCAGTAAGGGTCACCGTCTGCGGTGTGGACCAGTTGCCGTAGCCAAAGGTGAGCCAGTGCGGGAGGACAAAGGCCTCGTCGGTGTTGGTGGCAATCGAGATTGGGATGTGGACTTCACCGAGCGGCGGGGCGTCGAGGACGACAGAGACCCTGGTTGAGGTCCCCGTCTCGGATGTCGACGACGAGGCGAGGAGCGCAGTAGAGATGCCCGGGTCGGTTGGGTCGTCGTCAACGATAGTAACAACGGCCGTGCGAGTGTCAAACGTGAGTCCCGACGCCGAGTCGAGATAGACCGAAAAGTCTTCCTCCGGCGGCGAGTCCTCGCGGAGATTGTCTCCGACGATGTCGACGGTGATGGTGCCCGAGGTGGCGCCGGCCGGAATGACAATCGACTCGCTGATGCGAGCGATGTAATCGGACGGCGCAGTGGCAGTGTTGGGATTGGTGGTAAAGACGACGTTGACCGGCGATGAGACGCCCCACGGCATGATGACGTCAAGGCTGACGGTGGTTGTCCCGGAAAAGCCCTCGGCGACCGAGACCGAGGCTGTAGAGAAGCCAATCGATGGGAGCGGGTCGTCGTTGAAGATGACGATTACCGTCGACGCACCCTCCACAATCGAGGTTGGGAAGCTCGCCGAGGCAATGCCGATGTTGAGCGTAAAGTCTTCATCGGTCTCTGACGTGGTGTCAGCCACGACCTCAAGGGTAAAGTCGCCGCACATCGAGTGCTTGGGAAGGACAATAGTGGCCGGTGGGGTGACGTAGTCGTCGCCGCCGCCGGTGGCGGACCCGTCGATGGTGACGAGCGAAAGGGTGAGGGCGTCGGGGAGCGGGATGGTGAATGCGTAGGTGACAGTGACAAAGGTCGAGCCATAGTCGCCCTCGGTGACGTTGGCGGGGAAGAACGAGAGCGAGGCGTTGGACGGACAGTTGACCGAGGTGGCGTCCCGGATCTCGATGATAAACGGGTCGGACGAGTTGCGCTCGACAAGGGAAAAAGTGTTGATGTACGCGTTGTTGCCCTTGGACGCCGACTGGAACTTGCCCCATGCGCGGGAATTGACGTTGGGATTGAAAGGGTCCGCGTAGTCGCCGGCAAACATGCCAGCAAGGGTGTCGGGCGGCGTGTCGATCGAGTACTCGCCGTTGGGCATGAGAACCGGCGTGTACGAGACAAGCGAGTCGTCCCAGAACATGTAGAGCCCAAGCTTGGAGATACCGTCCGGGGCAATCGAGAAGAGGCGCAGGCCCGGATACACGGTCTCGACGTCGTCGAGCGGAAAGTGGATTTGGGCAACGTAGACAAAGACCTTGCAAGAGTAGTTGCCTGGATTGACCAGATTGCCTCCGCCGTCGCGGCCGTCCCACACAATGACATTCTGGCCAATCGCTGAGATGCCGTCGAGGCGAATGTCCGAATCGGAAATAAAGTCGTAGCCACCGTCACCATTGAGGTCACAGATGACCGAGTACTTGCCGGTCGAGCCAGTGCTAAAGACAATGCGCGGAATGACGAGGTTCTGGGTCGAGGCCTGGCAGCTCAGCACATTGTCGTGGCAAGTCGCCGAGACGTACTCGAGGGCGGTGTCTGTGACAAACGGAATGTTCTCCGAGACGGTGATGGCCTCGGGCGGAGCGAGGTAGAGGGCGAGCGCCGGATTGACGCCGTGGCCCGACTTGCCGATTGACTTCCAGGTGGGCGAGTTGGTGAAAATGCCGTCGGTGGTGGCAAAGACCGAGTAGATGTAGCCGGCGAGGCCCTCGAACCGGGCCTCGACAATCTTGTCGCCAAGGGTGGAGGTAAAGGGCGAGTAGAACGAGGCATCTGTGGCGCCCGAGAACGATCCTGCATTGAGCCGCCAGTTGGTGGACCACAGCCGACCATTGATTGATGCGCCGCCCGAGGTCCGTGTGTCGATGTCCCATGAGCCGGTCTGGTCGTTCGAGAGCGCCAGCCGATAGTGGCCCGTCATGGTCGTGGTATGCTGCTGGCCCGAGTTGAGCTGCACGAGAAGCGAGTCGTCCACCGGCGAGTGCACGCTCAGCTTACCCGACCCTGACCACTGAATCCTCTCGCCTGCGTTACGGATGTGGGTGTACATGGTTGTCTGGCTCTGCAGCCGCTGTGAGGTTCCCAGCTGGCTCGAACCTTCGCCGCGGGCCACGGGCAGCGGACCACCTATCAGCCATGCCGCAAGTACGACAACCACAACGAGGGGGAGGGACATTCCAGCAAAGTAGGTGTGTGTGTGTGTGTGTGTGTGTATGTGTGAGATTGTGAAGGCGTGTGTGTGTCAGGGCAGGTGTATGTGTGTGTGTGTGTATGTGTGTGTGTGTGTGTCTGAGGTTGAGGGTGATGTGGCCTTGCGCGTGTGGTCTTTCGTTCAGAGTGTTCGGTGTTCGTTGTGCGGGGCGGGAAATTGGAAGATTGTTGGTCGCGGAAAGGGGGGGGAGGGGAGGGGTGGTGATGCGGGGCGGGGTGTGTGTGGGGAAAATTTATATTTGCGGAGAAATAGTCGTGGCCGGTTGACATTCCGTTTGTACCGGGTGGTGGTTGGGCTCTGCGGATGAATGCCGATATGGGGCACGCTGAAGGTATGGCCTTATATTTCTCCCTCCCTCTCGCTCGCACACACACTCTCTTTACCTCTGCGGCCTCTCTGGTTTCTCCGGCGTGGTTGTTGAAGGCAAGCACCAGTTGTATCTTGCCCTGCTCACCTCATCCATATCATGCTCTCCTTCAAGAACGGTGCTGTCGCTGCGGCGGTCACATTGGTATTCGTCGAGTTGTTGATTGGGGCTGCATCTGGTCTCACCGTGCCAAACACCTACGCCGTGGCTGACATTGCGAGCACTCTTGCAACAGCCACAGACAACACAGTGGTTACCTTTGCGGCCGGTACATGGACTGGCTGCGCCGACTCGATCGAGTTTCCTGCAGGGGTGGCCAATGTTACGCTCCGTGGCGCCGGGCGCGGCTCGTCGCGAATCAACTGCTACGGTTCGAACGCGCGTGCGTTTGCGCTCTCGGCATTGGCTCCAGGCGCGCGGCTCGAGGGATTTACTCTCTATGGAGGGTCGGGCATGGGGCTCGGCTCGTCGCGCGATGGCGGGTGCCTGATTAAGACCTCAACCAGCGATCTGACGCTCAAGGAGCTGCACATCTTCCAATGCCGGGTAGGCGGGAGCGGGACGTTTCGCGGCGGAGCGATGCACATCGGCGGCGGGAGCGTGGTGCTCGAGAACACATGGATCACCGAGTCGACCGCGGGCAACTATGGCGGTGGGATCTCCATCGATGGCGGTGCCTCGGTGGTGGTCGCCGACACCTCGTCGATTTCAACTTCGACCGCATACGGATCTGGCGGTGGCGTGTATGTGGCGCCTGGCTCGATCGGCTCGTTGTTTGCCATATCGTATGGCGCTATGGAAGACAACTCTGCTGCAGGCAGCGGTGGGGCGATCTTTGCTAGCGCCGGTGATGTGGATATTAGAAACTGCCTCGTGGCGGACGCGACCGCGAACAGCGGCAGCGGCGGCGGAGTGGCCGTGGCTGGCATGGGGACCTCGTTGAGCATGATCGACATGCAGATGACGCGATGCAGCGCCGGTAGCGACGGTGGCGGCGTGGCTGCCACCGGCGGAGCACGAGTCACGTTGGGCTTTGAAGCGAAGCTCGACGTCAACACCGCCAGCGGATCCGGCGGCGGGCTTTCATGCGCCGGGACTGACTCGGTCTGTGTCGTCAGCCCCCGTGCTGCTGTTCAGGGCAATGTTGCGTCTGGGGGCGGTGGCGGTATTATGGTCGAGCCAGGGGCCCGACTCGAGATGTATGACGCGCTCGTGGCGAGCAATGCAGCGAGCGGAAGCGGCGGTGGCATCGGGGTGGCTCTGGGCGCGAGCGCTTTGCTCGATGGCGTGACCAATGTGACGAGCAACATGGCCGGGGCCAACGGTGGCGGGATACATGTGGCCGGAAGCGCCGAGCTGCGCGAGGCGCGTTTGATGGACAACATGGCGACAGACGGCGCTGGAGTGTGGATCGGCACCGGCGGGAGCGTCAACGGCACCAGATGGGCTGCCTCGCGCAATACGGCGAGCTCGCGCGGAGCGGTGTTTCTCTCTACCTCGCCCGGGCCTGTCGATCTGTCGGGCGGCCACGTGTGCGGCAACATGGGGCCGGTGGCGCGGATGGGACTCAACCTATGGTGCGACGATCCGACCGGAGCAGCGAGTCTATCGCTGACGGCAGGCGGGTGTGGAAACGTGGGCATCTGCGCCCACGGTGGATCGGATGCAGACATATGTGATCTGACAAACCAGCGACGTCGTGTGCCGGCCAGTGCGCCCCGGGGTGGTCATCATCTAGCAGCGGTTGCGATGTACGGGTTAACTGTACGTCCAGCAACGCGAGCGGGTGCACCCAGTGCGACAATAAGTTTGGTCTGGAGAACAGCGGCGTGTCGTACAAGGCATGCAAGCAGTGTGAGTTGCACAATTCGCGGTATGTGAACTCATTCTCACCATGCGTTGCGTGTCCGACCGGCTGTGCGACATGCACGCCCAGTGATACGTGTCCGACATGCATCTCGGGCTACATGCGGTCGGGTCCAAACTGCGTTGTGGCGCCGTCGCCACCGCCGTCACCACCGCCGTCACTCTCGCCGCCGCCGTCACCCTCGCCGCCGCCACCGTCATCACCGCCGCCGCCACCTCCTCAGTTGCCAGAGACAATCATTGCAACGCCGTACGAGTTGTTTCCAAGCACCGTTCCATTGGCCGGCGGCGTCGCAGTTGCGATCTCGCACCCACGGCTTGGAGCCCAGACGCTGGCGCTGGCGATCGAGACGCGTATGGGCCCGATTTTTGAGGCCGAGGCACAGGCGTTGGTGTGGGTGGAGCTGGTGACATCGGCAAGTGGGCTCTTCGTCGCGCCGCCGTCAAACAGGACCGGCTACGGCGAGGTTCGCGTGCTGAACGGAACAGGCGACGTGGTGCTCGGCGGGATTTACTACGACGGGTCTGGATGCAGTGACAGTGGCACAGTGCTGTACAAGGGTCAGTGCCGATCGTGCGCGTCGTTTACCGGGGCTTACTGCCCGGGTGGTCCCCGGTTCTGGCCGAAACGTGGCTACTGGTCGTTCAACGAGGCCGAGCCGCCGTCCGAGTGCTACCACCGCGACGCATGCCCAGGATCACTGGGCGAGATTGCTGGGTACCCACCACTGGTGCTGGCCTCTGGCGCGCGCGACACGCAGGTCTGCGCTGATGGATATCAAGGCGAGTTCTGCTCGAGCTGCGAAGCCGATTACTTTGTTGAGTCCGGAGTGTGCACAGCGTGCGGATCGAGCGCAAGTGTGCGGGCAGAGCTTGCAGTGGTGGCGATTGTGGCTTGCGGCATGTTCGTAATTGTTATTTTTGGCCTACTCTTTCTCTCTGCGGCGTCGCTGGTCAACGTGGTGTCTGGCGTGATTGCCGTCCAGCAGCTGGTGCTCGTGGCTCGCATGGGGCTGCTTCAGCTGTCGTCGTCGACGTCGGTTTCGTGGCTGGCACTCGTTCTCCGGGTGGCGTCGATCATCAACTTTGAGGTTGAAGTCATCAAGCCGGGATGCACGGTGGGTGCGATCTCTTTCCCGGTCTTCTACGGCGGGCTTGTGGTGTTTGTAGTTGGCATTGGGGCGCTGTTTGTGGCTGTGGTGGCCGTGCGGTCATGGTTGCGACCGACCAAGGCGGCGTCGTCAGTCAACGCGCAGCGCGCCTTTGACCTCGCCTGGATGCCTGGCGAAGACGAAACTATGGATGCTTCAACGCCGATGCTCTCAGTATCTGCGGGCGAGCTGACGACACCTAGCCCAGAAGTCGATGCCGACAATGCGGAGGCACGCATTGCCGTGCTCGAGTCGACGGTGGTGTCCGACGCATTGGGAGTAGAGGCGGCGAATGCGCGGGGCATGTTCGCGGCGCGGGCGACGCATGCCGTGATCATCCTGGTGGCGATGACGTACCTACAGGTGGCTCTGCGGACTGCTCAGGTGCTTCACTGCGGATGGTCCGGCGACGGCAAGCTGCGGCTTGTGGTGCAGCGGAGTCTGGTGTGCTACCAAGGTCGGCACGCCGTGGCGGCCGCATTGGGATGGTTAGTGGGCATCTTTGTCCTGCTTGGCTTTCCAATCTTTGTGATTGTCCGCGGAATCCAGGCACAGAAGCAGCTCGTTTCTGCTAGCGTAGCTGTGGCTGTCATGATCCACGAGAGCATCGGGTTTGTGATCCGGTCACTGCGGCTGCGGTTCCTATGGTTCCGGGCTCTGCACTTTGTGACGGTTCTTGTGTTTGTGGCCGAGACGGTGGTCATCCACAGGCAGGACGTGCGAATTGTGACGATTGTGTGTAACTTTGGCGTGTCGATGGCTCTCGTGGCGCTGCTCGATCCGTTCCGCGACCGCATGCACACCATGTTTTCGGTTGTGTCGGGGATGGCGTCGTCTGTGGTCATGCTTGTCTTTCTGTACAGGTACAACCGGACGCTGTTTGGCCTAACCGCAGTCGTGCAGGTTGTGGCAATGGGCGTGGTGGTCACGGCGCTCGCCTACCACATCTACCTCAAGAAGTGGAAGCAAGCTCGTGCCAAGCGCAAGATCGAAACAGATGCGTCGCCCAAGTCGAGTTGGCAGACGAGCAGCGGGTCAGAGTCTGGTCACGGATGCGATCCACGCTCGAGCTTGGGATCCAGCTCGAGTTCGAGCCCCGACACGGACACATGCCCGCACCTACCGCCTCCCCAAAGCGTCTACGTCTCGACGTCGAAGAAGGCACCATCCCCGTTGAATGGGACCATCGCCGAACTGCTTGAGCTGTCGGTGAGCGAGGAAGACCACCCCGAGGAGCCAAAAGCCACAGGCCGTCATGCGCGGCCGCCGCGGCCGTCGATGCGAAGGGGCGGAAGGAGCGAGCAGGATCTGCGATATGGTGCCGAGTCCGGCAGCCCATCGCCGCAGGGCGCTCGGCGGCGGAATGCCCGCGTAGCAGCGCGAACCGGCACTGCCTCGCCGCGGGACCAGCACATATCGGATCAGAACCAACGGGCCTCGACCAACTCTCTGCTCTCACCACAGGGCTCGGGCGAGATCAGCAGCAGCGGAGCGTTGACATCACCACGCAGTCGAACGGGCCGTGTCCGCCGCAGTCGACGTTCTCCTCGTGCGCGCAGCAAGATCTCACCACATAGATCCATCACTCGTGGTCGTGATCAATGAACCAAAGCCAGGACATGGCCGTGTCTTGTGTCGATCGGTCGAGGAGGCGCGAGTGGGCAGGGTCGGAACGGCTCGGCCAGTCATGCAAGTGGGCTCGTCGGCGCGTCACACCACACCTGCGCGCACACGCTCACCACACCCACACCCCACACTCTGCGCTACACACTCCACCACCATGCTCCGTACGGGTCTCACCCATTTGTTCCGAAGTGCTGGCGAAGCTGTGGACCGAAGCGCGGCGGCGGCGTTCCGCCAGCTGTGCCGCCGCGGCGAGTTTGAGGCCCAACGCCCGGAGCCGTCCCGTCGTTTGTGCAGGCCAACCTGGTTGTGGTGCCTGTGGCCTACGCGCTGGACTTTCTGATGTTTTGTCTGGCGAATCCCAAGGCGTGCCCACTGCTCGATGTCACCGATCCACATGCTACTGCTCCGCGCGAGGCTGCACGGGTCGCACCGGGCTCTGATCTGGCCACAGACGTGCCGCGGTACCGGGTGTGGCGGGCCGGCGAGCTGGAGAGCGAGCCGCGGAGCGTCGACGAGTTGTGGTCGAACGAGCCGGTTGCCGACGGTCCACTCGGCGCCTCACCACTCGAGCCGGGCGCCGATGGCCGCCCGCTGCCCATGGTCGGCTTTCTCCTCGGGTGCTCGTTCTCTTGGGAGGACGAGCTGGCGGCGATCGGCCTGCCGCCGGCGCATGTTGTGGCCGGCACCAACGTCGCCATGTACGAGACCAACGTGCCGAACGTCAAGGTCGGCCCGTTTGGCGGCAACCTGGTGGTCTCGATGCGGCCGTACCTACCGGCAGACTTTGAGGCGGTTGCCTCGCTCACCGGCTGCTATCCGGGCGCACACGGGGCGCCGGTCGGTTATGGCGCGCCCGATGCACTCGGCATTGCCGATGTGAGCAAGCCCGACTTTGGTAATGCTGTCCCCATCCCTCACGGCGCTGAGCCGGTCTTCTGGGCCTGTGGCGTCACGCCGCAGTCGGCACTCATGGCCGCCCGCATCCCGTTTGCCATCACCCACGCCCCAGGCTACATGTTTGTCACGGACGTCCTCGATGCCGAGCTGAAGGCACCATGCGAGCCGCTGGATAACCTGCCGCAGCAGTAAAGCGAGTCTGTTCAGTGAGCGCGATGGCCAGGGGGAGGGGGGAGGGGGAGGGGGAAAGGGGGAAGGGCAAACAAGTTGCTCGCGCGTTGGCGTTGCTCACGACTTGGTCTTTGTTTGCCATCAGTCATGGGCTGTCAGTTTGTCTGCCGTTTGGTCGCTTGCCGTTTGGTCGCTCGTCGTTTGTCGTTTGGTCGTTTGTCGTTTGGTCGTTTGCCGTTGGCGGTTTTATCGCGCGTTCGCTGACCCACAGCCGCTGTTTCGTCCTCTCCGCTCCACGCAGCTGGGAGGGGGCGGTACTTCACGCCCCCCCCCCCCCCCACCCTCCACACACACACATAGGGCAAGATGTCTGCAGAGTCCCTGGCAGAAAAGCTGACGACCAATGAGATCGACAAGCTGCTCTCCAAGCTCTCCACCTCGCCAACGACCACCTCGCCATTGCTGGACGATCCGACAGTGACTGCGCCTCCAGGCGCCACCACCGCTGCCATCATTGCCTCTTCCGCGCAACGGCAAAGCACCTCGCCGTTTGGCTCAAACTACTCCATGTCACAGCCGCTGAGTGCTTCCGACGTCATATCTCCAGCCGCAGACGATGTACACCCCATGGCCCAAGGCGGGGCCTCGGGCACCTCCAACCAGGCTGTGTCGTCACTGGGCGGCGCGACGCCGTCGCAGGCAGGGAAGAGTTCTGGCGCCAAGGGCAAGAGCAAGGACAGGAAGAAAGGGAGGAAGAAGAAGAAGAGGAGGAAGAAGAAGAAGAAGCACCGGAAGAAGCTCAAGAAGCAGAGCAAGCACAAGGGCAACGGCACACCAAGCGATGAGGCCGCCACGAGCTCGTCGGCGCCATCGTCATCAACCTCATCTTCGTCTTCGTCTTCGTCGTCGTCATCTACCTCCGAGTCGTTATCTTCGTCGCCGTCCTCATCCTCGTCCTCGTCCTCGTCCTCGTCCTCGTCGTCTGCATCGGTCTCGTCTACTGCATGCGACAAGCCGTCGCTGGCGGAAAAGGCGGCGGCAGCGGTGGCGGGTGGAGACAGCGCCGCCATTGTGGCCAGGAAGCGGCGGACACCGACTGGCTTTGAGGGCCTCGTTAGTGGCTCGTCGTCTGAGGTAAGCGGATCGGGCGGTGGAATGGAGACCTTCCCTACCTTTGAGTCAACTATGGGCCCCGGTGCAGCCGAGCCTGCCGGCGGCGACACCAACATCGAGCGTGCCACGCAGTTCCTCTCGCTCCTGCAGGGCGCGCAGTCGTCCGACTCGGCATCAGTCTCGGGCGACGACGCGGACTTTATGCGCGACATCCTCGGCTCGTCGCAGAACCTCGATGAGATCATCAGAGGCGGACTTAGTGGCGACGATGAACCTGCTCCTCTGTCGTCGGGCGCACCTGATGCTGCTGAATCGGATGCATCTGGGTCAAAGTTGCCGTCGGCCATGTCCAAGGCTCCTGGCAGCAGCAGCAAGAAAACGGTGGCGTTCGATTCGTCAGCCAAGACAACAGACAGACCTCCAGCCTCAAGGTCGTCTTCATCGGGGCATGTTCCCAAGGTCGACGCGTCGCTCCACGTGTCAAAGGTGGCGTTCTCTCATTCGGATCCTATGCCGGCACCACCTGTCAACGGCGAGGCCGCCGGGCCTGGCTCGGACCTCGTCGATTTGGGCTCTGCCTCGATCTCGCTTCCAGTCATGGCCGCCGACAACGACTCGGTGCGGGGTGGGCCACAGTCGAGCAAGACCAAGAAGAAGAAGAAGAAGAAGAAGAAGAAGAAGAAGAAGAAGAAGAAGCACAAGTCACGTCGCAAGCACAAGAAGGCGAAGAAGAGCAAGTCTACTCGACTGCCCAGCAGCGACGCTATTCGGCAGTCCCAGTCGTGGTCTGCTGTGCCCAGCGTCGGCGGCACGGTTGCCACAGACGGAGCCAACTCGAGCTCCTCGACGGCAAGCGCGCGGACCAGCAGCGACTCTGCAACCGACGCGGCGGTAGCAGAGGCGCTTGCCAACGCGTCGGTCAACGCACAGCTTCGCGCCGAGCCTGACTCGCTCGGCATGTCGTGGTTTGATTTGCTGGATCCGCTGCGGGCAAAGGCGCAGTCGCTGGCGGGCAACTGGCGCGAGCTCATTTCGGCCATGCTCTACCGGCGGATCAAGGACCTTACCCGTGAGATTCTCCAGCTGCACGATGTGGTCACCGCGTCGCTCGGCACCATGGCAGACGACATTGCACTCGATGTTGAGGTGCAGGATCAGAAGCTACGGATTGGCGCTGACCGACTGCTGCCTGCGGTGTCGGCGGCCATGTCCGGTGGCGATGAGACCCATCTGGACCGCATTTTGAGCATCCTCGTCTCGTCACTCTCGAACATGCTCTCGCTCCTCACCGGCGCCGACGATCAGGCCGAGGAGAGTTTGCCCAAGTCGCCAGTCCCAGTCGGGTCTAGCACGATGCCGCCGATGTCGCCGCATGTCTCGTTTGTCGATGAGGTGCCAACGAGCGGCTCGGGTCTACAGCGCGCGGCAAGCTCGCGCGAGGCTGACATGGGCGTGCCAGAGATGGACTTGCCGCGGCTGAGCAAGACGCCGCCACCAGTCACGCTCCCTGCGCTTGTGACCACGGCAACCGTGACCAAGGCGGCACCCGAGTCCCCGCTGTTGCTTGTCGAGCCGCGCGAGCTGGACCTCCCGCCGATTCCGTCGCCCACCACATACAATGTCTCGGTCTCCGAGTCAGACGACGAGCTGCCAGACCTGGCCGCGCCCGTACAGGTGACGCCTGAAAGCCTGTATGCTAGTTCGACCACCAGCGCCGTGTCAGGGTTTCGGCCGGTGGCGGCCACCGAAGCCTCTGCCCCCGACGGGTTTGTGCCGAGCGAGTCTTTGACAGCAGCATCGACGCAGTCGTTGCACCCGTATCGGGCCGCACCGCAGTTTTCCGGCACCATAACCTCGGATGGCCTCGCGGCTTCAGATCCACACGCGCTCTCGTCCGACGACGGCGAGCTCCCACCTCTTGCGGCAGCTGAGCCCGCTCCGTTTGGGCTCACCTCGGATAGAGGTGTACCTGCCGATCCGTATGGACTCTCGACTGACGACGGGGGGACCGCTGCGCCAGCGGTGGCGGACCCATACGGGCTGTCGTCCGACGGTGGGGCGGCGGCACCTGACCCGTACGGGTTGTCGTCTGACGATGGTGGTGTTGCTGCGCCGGCGGCTGCAGATCCATACGGGCTCTCGTCCGACGGGGGAGCTCTTGCTCCGGCGGACCCGTATGGACTATCGTCTGATGATGGAGTAGCACCCGGGCCTCGCGCGGCGGATCCATATGGGCTGTCGTCTGATGATGGCGGAGCACCCGGGCCTCGTGCGGCGGATCCATATGGGCTGTCGTCTGATGATGGCGGAGCACCCGGGCCTCGCGCGGCAGATCCATATGGGCTGTCGTCTGATGATGGCGGAGCACCCGGGCCTCGTGCGGCGGATCCATATGGGCTGTCGTCTGATGATGGCGGAGCACCCGGGCCTCGCGCGGCGGATCCATATGGGCTGTCGTCTGATGATGGCGGAGCACCCGGGCCTCGTGCGGCGGATCCATATGGGCTGTCGTCTGATGATGGCGGAGCACCCGGGCCTCGCGCGGCGGATCCATATGGGTTGTCGTCTGATGATGGCGGGGCACCCGCACCTCGCGCGGCAGACCCGTATGGCCTCTCCTCGGACAACGGCCCACCGGCCGCTGCTGCGGCAGACCCGTATGGCCTCTCCTCGGACGACGGCCCACCGGCCGCTGCTGCGGCAGACCCGTATGGCCTCTCCTCGGACGACGGCCCACCGGCCGCTGCTGCGGCAGACCCGTATGGCCTCTCCTCGGACAACGGCCCACCGGCCGCTGCTGCGGCAGACCCGTATGGCCTCTCCTCGGACGACGGCCCACCGGCACCCACACGCCAGCGCTCCGTTGCTTTCGATGTGTCGGACGACGACTCGTTGCCCCGGCGTCGCCGCGCGACAGCGACCACGACCTCTCGGCATCTGCCGGCCCTCTGCAGCAGCAGCTGCTGGCTGACTATGCTAGCAACCCCGAGTCGCCAGCTGCCAGCTCGCCCATCCATCTCAAGGCGGTAAGCACACCCGAAGAGGTAATGCGGCCAGAGCAGCGAGAGTTTCTCGAGAGGAACCGCAAGCTGCTTGCGACACGCGAGGCGAAGCGGGAGGCCGAGCGCAAGAAGCGTGAGAACGCGCTCGAGAAAGAGTCCAAGACCTGGTTCAAGCCGGCCATCAACCCGAACCCCAAGACGACCGAGATGGCCAAGATGTTCGACTCGCTCGACGTTGTCTCGCGGTTCCGCCACTACGAGAAGGAGCGCGCCTACAACAAGGCTTTGCGCAAGGCCGAGGAGGCGCGCAACCACCAGCTCGACTGCCCGCATCACCCGCAGATCTCGATGTACTCGGCGTCGCTCGTTCCCGAGGAGCCGTTCCACGAGCGGCTCTATGCCGACGCCGAAAAGCGCGAGCTTCGCCGCAAGCAGCTCGACTATGAGCTGCGGATGAAGGCAGCCGCTGAAGCCGTGCCTAACACTCGGATTTCGTCGGGCATTTCGAGCTCGGCCAAGGCCCGCGCTGCGTCGCAGCATGGCTCCGACTCGGGCGCCCACATCGGCGAGCATCTGTACAAGTTGGCCTTTGACCGCCAGTCGCGCCAGCTCGCCCGTGAGCAACGTGCTGATCTGCAACGGTACATGGAGGCGAATGCGCGGATTGTCAACGTCGACTCGGCCGCTGCCGTCTTTGCCAAGAACGACCGCGAGTGGAAGTTCCTCTGTGCGCGGCTGGCCGAGTTTGATGCACCGTTCCTCACTCCGCCACGCCTGGTTGCCGCGCTCCGGCTCGTCGGAGTCCTCCGCCCGCCAAAGTCTGCCAGGCGCCGGACGTCGCCGTGGGACGTCGGCACCGACGACCAGATCATGGCCTCGCTCCACACCGACGAGCCGGGCTTCCCCGACGAGCCGGCGCTTGTCGACGAGATCGTGGCGCTGCTGGACCCAGCTCAGACGGGATCAATCTCGTTTGTCCGCATCTGTAACTTGCTCCACCTCGTCTTTGATGGCACCCGGGTTCCGCCGGGCAGCGACGACGCCGAACCTGAGCTCGATGACTCGCTCCCGCCAAACTCGATGTCGTACTCGCGGCTGGCAGCATCGTCGGTCCTCTCGCCCGACCCACTGGACAAGCTCCGCGCCGGAACGTCGATGGTCGGAAGAAGCGGCGGGTCGAGCCCCGGGCCCGTGGACCTCGGCGGCATTGCCGCCACGCTCCGCAGCTACATCCAGAGCCACCGCGGAACGGTGACGCCGCTGACCGGGTACATGACCCACCGGCGCAAGGCCAAGATCCGAGCTGAGGTTGACAAGCAGCTCAAGTTCCAGCCTGAGCTCTGCAAGCACTCGGTGGCTATGGACAAAGAGCGCGGCTCGGTGGCTTCGCGGCATGAGCGGCTGTACGACGCATCGCGGGCGGCACAGATCAAGGCCGCCGAGCGGGCGGCGGCGAATGTACCGAAGCGCGAGGGTGGCGGCAAGCTGTTTCAGCCGCAAATCAATGCGCGCTCGCTGCGGCTGGCCACCCGCCGCCGCGCGTCTGTCGGTGGCGGGAGCCAGCCTGTCCACGATCGACTGTACCACAGTCTGACGTCGGCGACGGTGGCGCGACTGCGGGCCGACGAGGTTGCAGCTGCCGCCGAGGCTGCTGCCGCCGACGCGCCGGTTCTTGACATGAATGGCGAGGAGGCAACGTGGCGGCCGGACCTGTCGATTTCACGGAAGCGGCCAAAGTCGCTGCGTTCTGCGTCACTGGCGGCGTCAACTCGGTCCTCGTACCATGACACATCGCGACTGACGCTAGACGAGCTGACTGCTGACGACCTCCCGCCTGGCTACGCCGATGCAGTGATCCGACTGCGGCGCGGCGCGTCACTGCGGGCGTCGCAGCGCGGGCAGGTTGACTCGCGGTGGGCCGACCCGACGCCGATGGACACGTGCGCCGACCCGGGACTCAACGGCTCGCTGCCGCTTGCCCCCCCACCGGCGCCCGTCTCGCCAGCTCGCGCGGCCGAGCTCGACGCTGCTGCTGCGCGAGCGCGGCGGCGGGCGCGGCGCAAACGTGCACCGGTTCTCTTTGCACTTGACGCCTTTGTGGCGCCGGGCGTCTCGCATCGGATTACCGTTCATGAGGGTGACCTGCCGGCAGAGGTTGCTGGAGACTTTGCGGCTGCGCACGGCCTGCCGCGGTCGGCGCAGGCCTCGCTTGTTGCTACCATTGAGGAGCACATGGTGGCGCTTGGCGTGGCGCTCCCACCGCGGCCACTCGAGTCGATCTCGTCGCTCAACATCTCGGCCGACTCGATGTCCGAGTCGGCGATGTCGCTGCCGTCGCCGCCGCCACCGTCGAATCGACTGGTCGAACTCTACCTGACCGGCGAGGCTGAAGAGGGCCACACCCTCAACGTTGTCCGGGTCTTTGAGTCTGGCGATGATGTGCCGCTCGACTTTCGCTGGATCCGGCTCCGTCCCGACGGCTCGCGCGACGTGCTTCCAGTTCCGGGCAGCAGCTACACGCTCACTGCCGCCGACGTCGGGTGCCACATCTACTACGAGTGCCGCCCGGCAGCTGCATGGGGCCTCCCGCCCGGCACCCTCTACCGGTCGGTGGAAATGGATGCTGTCCGCCCTGCGCCGCCAGCCCCACCGTCGCCTGCCAAGGAGCGTGCCGCTGCCGCCGCTGCTGCCGCTGCTGCCGCTGCTGCCGCTGCTGCCGCTGCAGAGGAGGCCAAGGCAGCCGAGCGTGCTAAGGCCCGGGCACGCGCCGCAGCCATGGCCAAGGCCAAGGCCAAAGCCAAGGCCAAGGCCAAGGCCAAGGCCAAGGCCAAGGCCAAAGCCAAGGCCAAGGCCAAGGCGAGGACTGGCTCCAAGGAGCGTCCAGCCACCGAGACCCGCGGCGCGCCGTCGTCGCCAAGCGCGTCGGCGCCCACACGCGAGGCTCGGTCACCGCTGTACAACCTGCTGGTCTCACCCGAGGGTGTGCGGCAGTTCCTGCGGTTCTTGGCCGGCCAAGGCGCGGACGCGCTGCTCCGGTTCTATCTCGATGCCGGCTTTTACAAGCGGCTGACTACTGCAGCCGACTCTGAGCGCAAGGCACGGGCGATGATCTCCGAGTACCGCTCGCGTGTCGTACCCGAGGAGACTGCAGCTAAGCTTCTGGACAAGGTAGGCAGCAACTCGCCGCCACCACGCGAGCTCTTCAACGCAGAGCAAGGTCGAGTTTTCAGCGTCATGGAGTCCGAGTGGTATCCCAAGTTTGTGGCGCAGATGTAGAGTCGATAAAGCCGACATGCCTCGAACCCGGGGAGGGGGGGGGGGAGACAGGGGCGGAGGGGGGGGGGCGGGTGACAGCAGTCGGTCGGGTGGTCTCGACTCGACGGCAGACTTGTCACTCTTCTCCCCCGGCAGGCCATGAGCAAGAAGTTGGCGGCCCATCTCGACGGAGAGCCCCTTGCACTCTCGCGGGCGCTTCAGCTGGCACGGGAGCGGACGACGAGCCCTGCCGAGGCCCGTGCGGCAGCGCTTGCGGCGGTGACGGCGGTGGCGACGGCCAAGGGCAAGACGGCAGCGCTGGCCATGGCCCACAGCTTGGCGGGGCGCGACGCTGTGGTGGCTGCCCACGCCGACGCCCTTGCCGACGAGGCCGTGTGGAAGGCGCTCGGGAGCCTTTACGCCGCCGCGTGCGCTCCCGACGTCACTGCCAACGCTGCCGCCGCCCGTCCGCTGTTCCGCGCCCTGCTCTCCTCGGTCCTATTGGTGGCCATGGACGCGGCTGCGGGGGCTGGCGCTGGTGGCCCGCGGTCAGCACCACGCGCCCACGCTGCGCGCCTCTCTCGCTGGCTCTTGAGCCTGGCAAGCTCCGCCCCGGGCGTCCACGACGAGGCCGTGGCGGTGATGGCGATCATCCGGCGGGCCATGGCCGCGCCACAGGCTCGGTGCGAAGATGGTGCTGGTGGCGACGGCGGGAGCGGCATTGCGCCAATAATGGACGAAGCCGAGGCTGCGCCTGGTGGTAAGCGCCGGCGGACGGGCAGTGGCGCAAGCGGGGATCGCCCAGAAAAGCGTGCCAAGGGACTGGCTGCCAAGGTTGGTGCCGCGGTGGTCGATCAGCTGCTTGCCGGCGAGGCCGCGGCGGCGCTGCAGTCGTCGCCGTACTTTCTCGACGATGTTGGCCACGCGCTGCGGAGCCTCGGCTGGGACGGATCCGGGCGAGTCGAGGCCGCGCTGGCGAGTCTCATTGCCGGCCAGCCGGAGGTTGCCGGCCACGTGGTGCGCGCGTTGGTCGAGGTACCGGGCAAGGAGAGTGCAGCGTTTGATCCGATGGGACAGCTTGCTGACGCACTGAGCTCGAGCCCCGAGGGCGTGGATGCGTTGCTGAGCGAGGCTGCAGCACCGCATGCGCCGCGCGGGGCGTTGGTGTGGCTGGATACTCTGTGCGGGCGCGAGACGCTTGCGTCGCTGCTTGCGGCGCGGATTGACAGCCTTGGGAGCAAGGTGGATGCTGTGCTTGCACTTCTTGACCGGTACGTTGCGCTCGGCGTGGCGCCGGCATGTGGCCGAGCGGTGTTTAACGTTGTGGCGCTCAATGCGGCGCGGCACGGGCGGACGCAGCCGCTGGCCAAGGTTCTTGATGCATTTGCGGGTGGCGAGTCGAGCCTGCTCTCTGTTCCGGACGTGCTTGATCTCAGCGTCGAGGTTGCACTGGACAAGGTGCTTGCCCAGCTGTGTGGCGCGTGTGCCTCTGCGCAGTGGTTTGTGCGCCACTTTGCCGGAGGCGTGCTTGCGCTTGCAGACGAGCGCGGCAGCGCAGCGTGGCAGGTCATGTTGGGCAGCGAGGCTGCGGCCGAGTTTGTGCTCGGACCACAGGCTGTGACGCACTTTGCCACGCTGCTCAACAGCGCGACGCCGGATGCGGTGGCGTTGTTTGCGGCGGCGGCTGATGCAAGCGCGGGTGTAGCAACGGTTCGCTCGGGGCTTCCACTGCTTGCGGCGGCAGCGACACCTAGCGTCTGTGAAGCGCTGTCGGCGAGCGTGGCACAGATGCCGCTCGAGACTGCGCTGGCGACGCTAGTGGCAGATCCCAGCTCGGCACGCGCATTCGGACTGGTGCTGCAGGGACTTGATGCTGCTGCGGCGAGCGGCGAGGCGCTGCCGACCAAGGTCTACCGCCTGTTGACCAAGGCGGCTCTGTGTGTTGACGACGGCCGCCTGACAGCACGTGCTGCTAACGCGCTGGCGGCTGCCACGGCGCCAGTCGATGCAGCGGCAATGCTCCTGGCGCAGCGACTGGCACTGCATGAGAGCGAGGCAGCGGCGGCGGCAGGCGTTGCGTGGGTTCGTAGCGACGAGAGCGGAGCTCTTGCGCGCGCAGTGCGACAGGCGGCAGCGACACGCGAGCTGAGCCATCGCAACGCGGCTGAGTGGAGCGCGCGAGTGGCGCTGCTTGGCGAGCTGGCAACAAGCTAGAGGGTGTCCATGTCGAGGTCGTCGAAGCGGCGCTTTCGCGAATGCTTGGGCGCAAGCATCGAGGTCGCTCCCGGCGGCGGCGAGGTGAGCTCCATGGAGACAGGGCCGGCCGGCGGGGTGGGCGCGCGGCCGGACGGCGGCTGAAGACGCGACTGGACGCGTGCGACGGCGTCGTGGACGTGTGGGTGGCTCGGGAGCGTCGACGCCACGGCGGCGTACGAGTCGAGCGCAGCATGCAAGTCGCCGGAGAACTCACAGGCGATGCCGTGGCGCCAGAGCGCCTTGGGGTTAGTGGCATCGATACGAAGGACAGCCTCGGCGTCTGCGCGGGCCTGATCAAACTGATACAGCTGGATAAAGGCAGCCGCGCGGTTGTTGTAAGCGATGGCGCGGAGTGGGAGGTGCTCGATGGTGTCGGAGAGGAGCGCAAGCGCGCGGGTGTATGCGATAGCAGCGTCCTGATAGCTTCCGTGGCCGTAAGCAGTGTTGCCGGCCTCTTTGAGGCTCAGAGCCTTGGGGTACGCGCTGTCGCTGCGGCTGGTGGATGCCGGCGCGCCCTCAGTGGACGAGACGAGGGCCATGCAGCCGGGCGATGGCGCGGCAGCAGTCTTTGCCCGTTTGCGACTGGCGGCAGCAGTCGAGGCATGCGAGGCCGGGCGGAGTGAGGCAAGGAGCCAGCGCCCGCCCGGGGCGTGGCGAACCAGCTGAGCGTCCATCTCACCCCATCCATCGAGCAGCGGATGCGGCGGTGACATGGGCGCGGCAGCCAGCGAAGCCAGCGCCGCGCACTGGTTGGCTTCGACAGCCGAGATCTGACCCAGGAGGCACGGCGGATCATTTTCGGCAAGCTCTGTGCATGCCATCGTCATCGTCGAGCTGCTTCCAGTGACCATGCCCGTCGCGCTGCAGCCACCGGCCGCCATCGTCGTCGTCGTCGTCGAGCCAGCCTCCGCTGTCTGCAGGGTCACCGCCACCCACATGCCTGGGTAGAGCGTCTGTGTTGAGCGAGCGACCTGTGCTTCATCTGTGAGGTACAAGTCAGCAGAGAGTGCCGCATTATCGTCAATGCCACCCCCTATGACACCCGGAGGGAACATGGCTGAGGGGTGTATGTGTGGGGGGGGACAGGGGAGGAGTGATCATGATGGACACAGTCATG